GCAATGCAGCCACTGTTTATCTCTTCGTGATTGTAAGGGACAACTAAAATAAGTTCGAATTGCTGGAGTCTATGCACATCTCTATGCTCAAGCAGGTGAGGTTGTCTGGTGTTTGCTTTAAGTTTTAACACCCCGAGGTTATCCAACTCATCTTTCCTATTTCGGCGCACATGGCCAAATTTGTGTTTGTGCGCCATAAAACCAACCAACCAAACAAAATCTATTCTGCAACAATACCTGTAACCATGAGTAAATAAATGTTAGACGTTGCTATGATAGCGCCAGCACGGCAGCAGTCGCACATCATCAGAGGCTCATACCTTATAATTACATTTTTGAGTGTTATAAACGTTCCTTTGAACCTTAAAATGGATTTAATGTGTTTTGTTTGATGAAATGACTGTCAAAATCTTATTTCCTTTAATGATGTTATCAGGAATTATTTCTGGAATACAATTGTTATACTTTTGTAAAATGCATTAGTGGGTGGGGTAATATTATTTTGCAGTTTAAGTAAAAAGTTAGTAATCATATGATAATTGTATTATTATTGGTTGACACTATGATTTTGTTATTTATTATTTGATATTGTAATGATATAATTAATACATTTTAAAATTTACAATAAATATTGATATTTAAACTGACATCCTGATTTTGTATATTTTTCATGAAATCCAAGGTACCATGTAATTCAGGCATCATTTTCTCAGCAATGGCAGCAGCAAAAGTTCGGGACTTTTTATGGAAAAATGTACATACATAGTAGTTTCAGAAAAACAAACTTTTAAAACTTGCAATTAGTTCTAGGTTGACCCCCAAATTAGGGTATATTGACTAGACTACTAGGGTCTTCTTATGCAAACAGTACAAACCAAGATAATTTGGCATTATCCATGGTATCTGATCATGGTCTACACTGATCGCTATTCAGTCGGTACATACTTTGTAATTTCCCCTCAAATGATGAGTGGATTAGTCCATATTGAAAGATGGACCGGTCCATTTAAGGCATATAGCGATTAGGGTTAAGCACTCCGGTAGGAAGAAAAATCGTCATTTGTCACATCTGCAGGATAATCATCTGAAGAATTATCAACAGAGCTTGTTGATATAAAAGTGCAATGCTTTTCCGCTTTAGTGATCAATTTAACTTTATTTAAAAAGCCTCATGTTGGTCACTGCCTGTAATTATGTTGGGCGGGGGGATTTTTATTCCTTCTCTATCTATAGGTAGAACATTACAGATGTGCCGATGTGACTTTCAAACACAATACTATACTGCCAGGCTTAAAAAAACCGATTCAACCCAAAATGTCACTTAAAAAAATCTGAGAGACACGAGCATACGAAACATTGCAATTTACGTGTATAATGGACTTCTAACCTACACATAAAATATCGATACACTTCATTGCACACGGGGTTCGAACCGAGGATACAGTCATGAACTTCTCGTGTAGTCCGTGCACTATAACCATGCGGTTTAAATTTGTAAAAAATATCATGTACATGTGTTAGTCGAAACATAATCATTATTCCATACACCTATACAAAATAATGTTAATGAGAGAGAGCTCGGGTGTTAGCCATGCTGGAATGTGAATTAAGTCAAAATGAGGTCGCAAACCGTTTTATTTGTTCAAGATCCACAGTAACACGGCTTGTTCAACGTGTTATGGTAACAGTCACACTTGCCGATAGACATCGTTCAGGGGCCCCGCGTGTAACGACCAGGAGGCAGGGATCTTTATACGTCAATGTCACTTACGTGACGGATTTGTCACGGCGGAATCTATGACAATTTAGATGGTCGGTAATCGTGGTATGCCTGAGAGTCGTCACACAATAAGAAGACGCCTGTTGGAGCAAGGAGTACGAAGTTGGAGACCATACCGTGGTGTCTTTCTAAACAGACTTCACCACCAGCAACGTCCCTTATGGGCTCGTCAACATATTTAAGATCGCTGGAATATCGTGGTTTTTAGTACCAAGTCACGATTTAATGCTGACGGTCGTGTACGGTTGTACAGACGTCGAAATGAACGTTACGTAAATAACTGTCTGAGATTAACCGTTACGGTACGTAAATAACTGTCTGAGATTAACCGTTACGGTGGTGGCGGTATAATGTTGTGGGGAGCAACTAACCATGGTTTTAATTCTGATTCGGTGGTGTGTCAGGGACATATAACGGCTAGAAGGTACATTAATCAGGATCTTGTACCTGTAATTATTCCAATGTTTAACCAACGTCATTGACTAACGTTACAACATGACAATGTCAGGCCACATGTCGCCCTATCACTCGGGACTACCTTCAGCACAACAACATTAACTTACTACCCTGGCCTTCTTGTTGTCCAGATTGTAATATCCAATTACTACATCGGACAACGTTTACGTTAACGTCAACAGCAGCCTAGACCTGTACAGCAATTTACGGCAGTTGTACGTGAAGAGTGGAACACGATCCCACGGTATATGTTGAATATAACTGATGTGTCTCTATGAGGAGAAGGTTGACTGTTGTACTAGTCAGTATTGGCGGACATACCAGGTATTGATTTAGAAAATGAAATTGTCTTGACAATGTCTGAAAGATTAGCATTTAATTCCGGAAAATGCCATTACACTGTAATCCAATTGCTAACAAAAATTGCCAAAGAATGTATATTTCTATAAAATCCAGTTTTACTGTGTTGATGAAATTAAATAAAGTGTTATACGAAATGTATTTAGTCCGTCAGTAAACAAAAAGTAAATGACACTATGTAAGGCTTGGCCAGAGTGAAATGTTTTTAAAATAGAATGCATGAGCTTAAAGGTAAATAAAACCAAAATAACCACCGTCTTCTGTATCATTTAAGGATAATATTCAGAGACTATGAAGTAAAGCGGCTTAAATATGGGTACTTAACTTATACCGCCGGTTGGAGCATGAGACTTGTAATCTCGACATTATGGGTTCCTATTCCCGCGGTGAACAACTGAAATACTAAAATAGTCTTTTTATGGTTCCATGTATGAGTGGTTAAACACTTGCTATGTTAAAGAACCAGGAGAAGCTGGAATTTGGGCATCTTTCTGTATCTGTATCTTACACTCCTTTAAAATATAAAATGACTCTTTTGAAGGACACGCCACACGCACACGCACACACCAGACAGACAGACACACACACACACACACCAACGCACGCACCAACGCACGCACGCACACACACACACCTATGATACAAATCCTTAAGGTATGTCACATCAAAAAATTAAATGAAGTTCACGTTCACGTGATATGAAGTTACAAAATAGTTTGAAAGGTACATAACACGTATTTGTAGACTAACGTTACAAATTTGTTTCTTGAAAATTTTCAATGTTTTGTTTTCTTGATTTTATTCAAGTTCCTTTGTATAGAAAAATTCGATTTTTTTCTGCGGCATCCTTGGATGGGGATAGTCCTTGCTGAAATACTCTTCATTTGAAAAAAAAAGATCAAATAATGTATGTGCCAGTGTCAATTAAACTGGACATTAAGCCTTTTGAAATCGCTTTATGTTTATTATTTTAGATGCCTAAAATTCGAATAATATTTTTCAATATCATTTTTATATTGCAAAGTAAAGGGAGATAACCGTACTCTTATGTTTTGAACTTAGATCTGCATTTTCTCAAATGAATACACGTTCTTTCATTATTGTCTACATGTATCAAAATGATAAATATTTGGCGGCAGTATGCATTAATTAAGGACGAACCAAACCGACTAAAACATTCTATATCAATATGAAGACATCACTGTTAATTCATTTAAAGGGGTTCTCTTGACATATTTTGACATGACGTGACTAAAATAATAATTCTAGAGAGTGTTTATTTGATGTTTGTCTAGACCAATAACCTATATAGCTAAGTGCAGTGTTCAGATTATTTGAACAGCGCCATGACAAAACCAACATAGTGTGTTTGTGACCGGCATGGATCCAGACCAGCCTGCGCGTCCGCGATCAGGATCCATGCTGTTCACTTACCAACTCTATTACAAGTAGAGAAACTGATAGCGAACATTATTGATCCTGATCAGACTGCGCAGATGCGCAGGCTTGCCTGGATATATGCTGGTCACAAACGCACTATGTTGGTTTTGTCATGACGCTGCTCATTTGTTTACTCCATTTTTTTTCCAGAATATTTATTCTTATTGTGAAAAATGACCCGAAAATGCTCATGTTTTTATGCTTTTTGAACTCATTTCAGTATTTTTAATTTCACGTGCAGGATGATTTTGTTTTGTATGTTTGTTGTGTTTTTTTTAAATTAAAAATGTACATTTTTATGTCTGTTTTTGTAAAAAGTATAAGTAGTATTAAAAAAAGAACGAAATAAAATTCCGTTAGATCTTACATTCGTAAATTGATCTATTAACAAAAAAAACAAAACAAAAAAAACAAAAAAAAAAAAAAAAAAAAAACAAAAAAAAAAAAAACCAAACAAACACACAAACAAACACGAAAATTAGAGAATTGAATTAAATCTTTTATAAAGCTTTCTTTTGATAGGATATATTACCGTGTATTAATGATTGCTAGTTATATAACATGCATGCATTGCGACCCTGTTTATATAAACGTAGCCATATAAAATGCCAAAGGACTCTCTAACTAAAGGTGTAAGCTATTTTTTAATGAGATGGACTCAGTAATTCAGACAAATACCGGAAATAGCTATATGTATTGTATAATGTAAACATCATTATAGTTTCATATTTGTATTTAAGGAAATAAACCGGTGAATCAAACAATTAGTCACAAAACCACCCCACCCACATTTAAAGTTAACCTCATATAAGATTCACAAATATGATGCATGTGATTGAAGATATCAAGTAACTTCATGCTAAGTTAAGTAGTAAAACCAGGACAAAATAATTTGATTTTTTTATCGCGGAAGAGAATATCAAATAATACAGACTTTTATTTCCTTGAAATACTTTGAAGTTGGTAAAAGTTCATTATTTATAATTCATGTAGTAAATATTGTTATCTTATCAACTATCAACATAGGTCATAGATTATTCACCGTTTTTCATTTTCTAATTTTATCGTAATTTGTCGGCATAAACGATGTTCGGTAGAGACCAACGGAGAAATGTAAGTTTTTACTTAATTCAATATTTGTTGTACTTTTTTTACATGTTGGCGATGTTGTTTTAATGAGCACTTATTCGACTACTTTTCTGCTATCATGTCGGTCTGCTATCATGTCGGTAGACATGAATTAATGCATATGTCGGCTAAATTAAGTAGTGTATTAGGCCTAGTGCGAGTTTTAACTACAAAACCAGAAAACTTAAAGAAACATTATGCCTTAGAAATCCATATGTTTTTAAAAATTCTTCCTCATTGTCCAAGGTGTGTTTGATAATGTTTTTATAATGGATTAAGAGCATGTTGTTAGATATTCAACAACTGACAAAAGTAGCGCCGGACATGCAGTGAAGTGTCGTAAAGATATTAAAAGGTAAACAAAGTACTAGTAGTACATGCACTTTGACTTCCATATAAAAATACTATAGTTCACTAAATATACCATTTTCCAACCGAGCAAATTAAGCAAAAAATATTTGATGTTTATAGCAAATGAGTACTTTTTCATGTTTTGTTTTTGGAAACTGTGTAGCAATTGAGTACTTTTTCATATTTTGTTTTTTGGAAACTGTGACACGATACCAAATACGTCATTCACTCATTTTACTTGCTTTTCGGCTTATTTTCTTGTCTTCACACAATTAATACCAATTTATGTACTTTCGTCTCTTACGTGAATTGAGCAAAATACATCTAAAAAACGATGAAAATATAGTGAAATAGAAAGTAGAGCACAGAGGTCTTGAAGATTAAAAACTAAATCTAAATAATAATTATATTATCTTTTTCTTTTAATAAAAGAAACGATGTTAGCGAGTTTTTAATTATAGATAATTATTAAACGATCCACGAAAGGAAGTTTCAATTTATTGTTTATTAAGTACAAATCTGGTTTGTTTAGGATAAGAACGCAGATTATCAGTCAGGCATGGAGAGGCTATCTGGTGCGGCCGGTCATTTTGCTGGAGCGGTGTTGAACGAACTTGGACGTCGTAGCCAACCACCTCATGTGCCACAACAGTCACGTGTATGTATTTCTACACTTTAGTAGGGGAAACAGTAAATTCTGAATAATGATTGTCAATCGAGAGCATGAATATAATGAATTAATTGAACATTTCAGACCCTTTTTCACTGTGTTAATGTATGATGTGACATTGACCTGTTATTGCAACACAATGCAGAAACTGACTGGGGCGTACCTTGTCTTATTTTGAGTGTGTGCACTTGCTTAAATGATTAAAAAATAATTTACTACTGTGTATCAGAAAAACTAAACATAGCCAGGTGTCTCTATTGTTATGAAGATAGGTCTAAGAAATGTTTTCCTTGTTATTTTTCTTTTGTGTCACCATAACTTAACATGAGATATAATCAAGGAAAATATGCTTTTAAATGATCTGTATGACGATAATACAAACACAACAGCTTAAATGTTTTAGTGTAATAATAAGTTATCGTTATCACAGCTAAAATGTAGTATCGCGCCTTTAAAAATATTTCTAAATGTGCATTATGATAATTTTTATCTTTAACAGCTTTTTCTCAACTCTTTTATTTCAATTTTCATTCGAAATGTTTAAGTTAGTTCATTACATTGTTAAATGCCTAACGTACATAAAGCATGTTGGTATAATAAGACGATGCGTAGCAAAAGAACCATGAGTGTCAAAAACTTTATGTATATAATCTTCTTTACCAATCAAGATCATTCTATTCAAATTGCCGTACCAAACGGTAAATCTGTACATGCCAAGTTTTACAAAGGCAAGGTCGTTCATAAGTTAAGGAAATATTTCAAAAACCGTCGACCAGCAACTGGTCTCCGTGGTGTCAGGTTGTTAAATGAGAATGCTTCGTCACACAAAGCGGCCATTGTACAGAAGATCTGAAACAGGAAAAGGTTGTCGAGCTTCCTCACCCTCCTTATTCGCCAGAGCTTGTCCCTTGTGACATTTTTTTATTTCCGACGCTCAAAAAACACGTTGCTGGAAGAAATATCAAACGCGAAACAATCTCGGTTCGGCTATTTTCCCGTGTCTGAACAGTATACCTCGAAAAGATTATGATCATGCATTTAAAAATTGGATTAAAAGACTAAAACTTTGTATACCAAATGGTGGAGAGTATTTTGAAGGATTGAGATAATTATTTTGACATTGTTTGTTAAGCACTTCTGAAAATTGACCCAGTTGCCTTCATATTTGAAAAGATTGAACGATCGGGCAGCGTGATAGATCTTAATACATACACAAGCTCGATGGGCTTTCTGATGTTCACTGCTCGTTGATTCATGCGAACGTCTTTGACTGCCTTTGGTTGCACATATTTTGTTATGTATCTTTCGCTTGGGTTTATTTAACTGAACCCACGTCTCATCGCCAGTGATGATATTTTCGAAAGATCGATTGTTGTATTTAGGGAACTGTTTCAACAATTGTTTGGAGATTCTTACTCGAGCAAGGTTTTGCTCTTTTGTAAGGGGGTGGGGTTTCCATCTGGCACTTACCCTCCTTTTTAAATCACTTCTGACGATTGTATGAGCGGCTCCTGCAGAGATACCAACACATTTAGCTATATACCTAATTGTAAATCTTGTATCAAAAGCAATAAAGTCATTTCCTTTTTCAACCATTTCTTTGCAAAGTTGCAGTTTTCGGACGGCGTGCATGAGGTGCATTTTTTACTGAATCCAAACCACTTTTAAATTTCTTACACCACTGTGTGGCAGATGAAGAAGAAAGTTCATTGTTCCCATAAACCCGACATATTTTATTCAATATGCCCTTCGCCTGTCTACCACGATTACAGCGGTTTATTGATACAGGACCGTATTTGGTCAGTGTAAGGAGACATTAACACTCGGCATGTATTAACTATTCCAATTTTAATATATCTTAATTTTTTATTTCTTGCAAGTCTGATTTATCTTTGACTTACACATAATATACTTTATGGATATGTATGACATTTTTTCTTAGAAATCAAAAGCATGCTCAGGTGAACAGGCGGCAGGCAACAGCCGCAAAGACCATCGTGTAAGTGCATGTAACAAAAGAGGACGTCGGTCGCATGCCTATGTAAGTAAGAAGTTATAATAATAATTAAAACAAAATATTTACAGAATAAGTTTCGTTCTTGACTTCTGGACAAATAATTTTCTACCTTGTGATATGTGCTTGCTTTCCCGCCTAACTACCTAACTATTAGTCTGACTTTCCTTAGCCCTAGCATTATCTGGTTGCTACTCATTATTTTCTTATCACTTTAATCATTTTTATTTTTTTTAATCTCATCATTTTTGTTTGCTGAACTCTTATTTTTTGCTGTTTTTATACCCCATTGTTTTGTTTAGTTTTGTTTACTTTGATTGTATTTTTTCTCTTTTTTATTGTCCTCACAATATCACCATCTGAATAATGTGCTGATGCATGTGCCTGTTTTTCTATTTTATCGAACTAGTTTAAATGCATATTTTATTGCTTGTAGTGGAAAATGATATGTATTACAGACAGTTTTGCAATTTTATCTGCGAGTTTGAATAGATATGATATTGCACTTTACAGGTTATGCCATATATACATAAAACTGGTCATCTCAAGCCAAATAATATAATCTTCATCTGCGGAGTACCACGACCAAAGGCGACAAGGTATGCAAAATAAATTTGTTCAGTGTTATTTAATGTAATAATACCGCAGATGCTCGGGTATAATCGGTACATTCCGACAGAATATATTAATCTTACACCGGGGCCGGTACACCGGGCGCCGGTACAGACAGGAATATCTTGCTCGAGGGTAACTGTTTACGGCGGTAACGATGCTCTGCCGAATTTCCACTAAACAGTTACATGAGAGCTTGATATTCTTGCTTGTGACGACATGTAATTATCTTATTTCGGAAAGAAATTACGAAAACTGATATTTTCATGTCGCACTGTGTTTCTTACAGTAGCATAATTATGAATTTACAACTTCATTTATAACGGCAAAATGACGTCATTCTAAGAACGCAGCGTCAGCGTAAAATAGATATTGAACAAATCTTGTGACCTCAACGACATAATTCAAAGAAATTAGCCGAAACGAATTTGTATGAGTTTGATCTAATAATTTTTGTAATTTCTATTGAAATTGACATCGAAAAGATTATATTCAGCCGTATATAAAATATGCATGATAACTTTTTTTATAAGATAAGCATAAAATTATTATTGAACAGTTTTTGAAAATGTTTGGCCTATTAGAGGCATCAGTCACATATACAATAATAAACATAGAATGTAAAATATCATAAAAAGAGTTCCACAAAATATACCAATGCACTAGATAAGTGTCCCACCATTATAGTTTTTACCGCTTCCGGAAGTAAGCATTTGAGATGTTACGTAAATCTTTCTTAAAACACATACACATACTATCTCTCGCGCGCACACGCACGTGCAATGACACAAACAGTTTTATGTCATTTAGACATTATATATCTGTTTAGGTTCACAGTTTACCTGCAGAATGGCGACAAGTTTCAACCTTCATTAATCACGTTTTGTTTTGATGTACGATTTTCTTACGGCTACGATAGAAACTGCATTGTACGAAACCATAAAGATGGTGGGTGGGGTATGGAAGAGAGGCAGATTGGGTATTTCCCATTTAAAACTGGTGAACATTTCGAGATGATCATTTTGGTTGAACAGGGCTGTTTCAAGGTAAATGTTTTACATGTTGCTTTGCTTATTGGAGATGTTGTTTTATTGAAATGTTTTTAGAATTATTACAACATTTGATTGAATATCAATAGCCGGCACAATCTGATATAGGAGTGCCACGCATTTATCCGTTTAAACGGCTTCTGTCGGCTTTGAGCAATAAATCGGTTAAACAATTAAAAAACCGGAAACCGAGGTTAAGATGAAGAAATTTAAGATTAGGTTTTATTATTACTTTTGTTTAATTATGATAAGATATTTCATTGTGTTGTGTTTTTTAGCTCAACTGTCACAAAGTGACATGGTGACAGAGCTTTTGTGATCGCTTTTCGTCCGTTCATCGTCTGTCCGTAAACCTTTACTTTAAACGACATCTCCTCATAAACCGCTAAGCCAATTTCATCCAAACTTCACAGAAATGTTCCTTTGGTAGTAAACTTTAAAATAGTTGTTCAAGGAATTTAATTCCATGCAGAACTCTGGTTGCCATGGCAAACGAAAACAAAAGTTAAAAAGAATCTTCTTTTTAAAACACCCCAAAGAGCTAGAGATTGCATATTTGGCATGAAACATCGTCTAAATAAATGAGAGTTTACGAAGTTTGTTCAAATAAAAGGACTGGGGTCAAAATAGATCGTAATATGATCGTTTAAACCTTTTACACGGTTATTAGGGCGTCATTTTAACATTTTTACTAACCATGACACCCCTAATCGGATAGAGTCTGTGGTTAAACACCTTGTTAGATTTCATAAATAAGTTCGTGCAGTACAATCTCTGCACGGCAAAATCCTTTGGGAAGTTACTATTTGAGATGTTGCTCTACAGAGGATAAATTCAGAGTTAAATATCAATGTGGGAAAATTGGTTGTTGTTAAGAGGTTATGGTTCTACAGAGGGCCTCTCTGCAGAGGTTACTCTGTATCTTACACTGGCAATAAGCTGAAGTGAACGATGGTGATTATCATTTAAAACTGATACTTTAATTATAATAACAATATAAAGTTGCAAACACATTTGATCCTTCGTGGTTCTTATAGACTTGCAAATTCTGAGTGAAATAATGAGGGCCGAAATTTAGTTTGTATATACCTTTTCTGGTACATTTTATTTATAGGTGGCCGTAAACGACAAGCATATGCTACAGTTCAATCACAGGATCCGGCAACTCGACCGTGTCGATACCCTTCGCATTGATGGTGACGTCACACTTACCCAGGTTAGGATCCAGACTTGAAGTGAAGATAAAAACGCATCATGCATCTCAATAAATGTTATTAAATTATTATTTTTGCATGTTGAAATGATTTGAAGAAAAAATCGTGACTGATAAATTGCGAAACGGTTGTGATAACGAGAATTAGTATCATTATTTTCAGTATACAAGACTACAATTTCAACACTACAATTTTGATCACAACTATCCTCAAGACTACCATTTTGATAACAACTATTCTTAAGACTACCATTTTGATCACAACTCTTTTTAAGTCTACAATTTTAATCAAAATTATTGTAAAAACTACCATTCTGATAAATACTCTTCTGAACACAACCATTTGGTTTGTTTTCAAAATTAACGGCATGATGAAATAATATCTTTAGTTAAAAGATAATAAACGTTCGTTCTGTTTTTTGTTGTTTCTTTTTACCATCTGAAGTATATGAAATTATTACTGTATTAGATATATATTGGCTTTGTAACACAATGAAAATAAAATTTTTGTATATTAAATACTAGTATACAGTTTGTTTGTTATCATATTTTGCTTTGTCCACGAAACCAGATACGTCGTGATAATAGGTAAAAAGGTGAATAAGAGGAATATGGTGTGCAAAGACATAGTGTTACTCTTTTAACGCCGCATTGACCTGTCATAGAGGCCACTTCCAATTAATTATTAATTATCATAAGTTGACTTAAATAGAGATTTATATTACTTTAAGTATGGCTTTAAGTATGCACGTGGTACCTCGCTATATTCATTCAAATTTGGTTCCTCATTATTACCATCTCGGCTATTTGTATTACGATCACTTTAATGAAGGAAAAGAAAGAAAGAAAGAAAGAAAAGAAGAAAGAAAGAAAGAAAGAAAGAAAGTAAGAAAGAAAGAAAGATTGAAAGAAAAAGAAAGAAATAGAAAGAACCAAAAATATGTAGCTGCGTTTCAGTGTAATTGTTTAATTAAAAAATCTTTTAACAGGTTATATACTTTATATGACCCAGTAAAGTCAATTGTTGAGTTATATAACCCCAATTGCCAGCAGAGAGTTATATAGCAAACAAGCAATTACACATGACCACATGACATGCAGAAACTCTTTATTATTAATCTATGATACTGCTCAATTCTTTAAAAAAAATAGCAATTACATATCAGTAGCAAACTCATGGTTCAACAGTGTTAGAAATGCTTCAAAATTTCGAACATATATCTCTTTTAAAAGATAAATCCACCCCCACACTGAAGAATATGTTAAAATGAACTTATCAAGAAAGTTGCGCAATTCAGTTGTGGATTTTTTTTCCGCTCCATAAAAAATCGGGCGCTTAATTTGTGAAAACCCCGAACATCGACTTTGTAATTTTTGTGATCCACATGAAATTGAGGACGAAAAACATTTCCTTTTAGTTTGCCCATCCTATGACCGTATACGAAATGACTGTTTTCGTGATTGAAACATTGAGCCTAATAATTCAATGACAATTGAAAATGAATTAGAAAACTTATGAACAAGTTTCCAAGACAAGTAGCGAAATACTTAGCAAAGACGTACATTAAAAGGCGAAACTCAATTTATAGTTGAACAAAGTACATTGTTTTCTAAATAAGTGCACAACCAATGACATTGTTTGACATTTCTTCTAAGTTATAAATATTTGTAAGAAGCAATATATTTATTTCTTTTCTTTAAATATGTGTTAAACATACGTTAAACCATTTGAGTTACAGTATTTATTTACATTATTTACTTTTCCAGGATGTATGATGTTATAACCATTTTGCACGGACGTTAAAACACACACACACACACACACACACGCACACACACACACACACACACACACACACACACACACACACACACACATATATATATATATATATATATATATATATATATATATATATATATATATATATATATATAATATATATATATATATATATATATATATATATATATATAATATATATATATATATATATATATATATATATATCACCATACTGTAATTAAAACAAGGAAGAAATAAACAATGTATTCCCCTATGTAGTACTATTGTTACTGCAGGTGCCTTAAATACTCCTACTCCACCATTAGTGAAAACTTAATTACCAGAACTTGAAATCAGAAACTCTTCTAAAAATTTTCTTCCATGAGGAAACTAAAATAAGTAGGTTTTGATTCTATGATAAAAATGGGGGAAAAACTAATTGCTTAAAGGAAATTTATGATAAAAAAACAGTGATAGTCACAACTTATAGAACGTAAAAGATACTCTTCGGATCAAGAAAAGATATTCTATTGTCTTAAAAATGTACGGATTGAATCACAACAGAGAGGTAAGACCATAAAACGTATTCTTGTTTATGTTGTTCTTGATGTCATGTATTTGTTTTAACCCTGAACATTTTCTTCGCCAAACAGATACGATACATATTGAAAAGTCTTGACTGTAAATTTAGTAAAGATGAAATACGGAAGACAATTATCATGTCTAAATAGGCATAAAAGTTGCAATATTGATAAAAATGTTGCGGATTTTTCTATCGACTCAAATAAATTCATTCGTATATATCGTAAACAGTTTTAATATAATATACGATAAAGGTGAATTTCCCGAGTCATGGTGTTCGAACCCAGATATCAAATGCTGCCGTTTTCCTATGTAAAAAAATGTAAAAAAACGAATTTAGAAATATTGAATTTACAATCACTTATGTACAGTTAAAGCAATCAGCCCATTGAAATTCATGTAATTATTTGGCATTATCTGTAAGAAACTATCTAGGAATGATTCTTGGGTGATCTTTTAAATTTAAAAAAAAAAATGCATTCCATGCAGAACGATGATTGTCGCGGCAACGGAAAGAGAAAAAACTTTAGAAATCATCTTCTCTGAAATCATAAAGGCCAGAGGAAAGATATTTGGCACAAAACATGATGTACCATACCTCTATCAAACTTGTTCAAATAAAAGCCCACCTTTCAAAATTGGCCTTGTCCAAGAAGGTCATTGGTTTTCCTTATATGTTTATAGCAAATTCTTCAAAAATTATCTTCTCTAAAGTCACTAAGGTTAGAGCTTAGATTGTTGGCATGAAACATCTAGTGGGTCTCTACCAAGCTTGTTAAAATTAAAGCCCTTGGATCGAAAAAGCCCTGTCCTGGGGGACGGAGGTCGTTGGTTTCGACTTATATATATAATGGATTGTTTAAAACACCTCCTTTTAAACCATAAAGACTACAGCTTAGATATTTGGCATGACACATTGTAAAATTGACCAATATCAAGTTTGTTCAAATTATATCCCTGGGGTCAAAATTGACCCTGTTCCACGGAGCTCACGGGTTTACCTTAAATGTAAAAAGAAATGTCATAAAAATCATCTTCAATCTCTTGAACGATAAAGTCTTGACCTGAAATGTTTGGCATGAGTTTTCGTAGTGTCGTTGTTGTTCTCCTTGTTTCTGTTCTAACTGAAACAATGACTTTTTAGGAAAGAGCGTCACGGCGTGAGAGATGCTTCAAAATTGCTGCAAGTGTGACACATTTGGCAGGGTCGTTCCTCGGTGAGGTCAGCAAAGGTGCAATCCAAGCCGATCGGCCTATTGGCGAGAAGTCCGGATTTCGACATTCTCCTTTGACGGTATGTGATAAAAAATATCTTAAAAATCATCTTCAATTTCTTAAACGATAAAGTCTTGACCTGAAATATTTGGCATGAGTTTTCGTAGTGTCGTTGTTGGTCTCCTTGTTTCTGTTCTAATTGAAACAATGACTTTTTAGGAAAGAGCGTCACGGCGTGAGAGATGCTTCAAAATTGCTGCAAGTGTGACAAATCTGGCAGGGTCGTTCCTCGGTGAGGTCGGCAAAGTTATAATCCAAGCCGACCGACCTATTGGCGAAAAGTCCGGATTTCGACATTCCACTTTTATGGTATCTGATAATAATTTTCATAAACATACTCAGACGCTGATAATAAAAATTACTCATTTGTTATTTTGGTAATGATGCTAAGAATGATAAATTTATTGTTTTACGACAACAAAAGTAAGTCTCATTCGGTGTACTTGCTTACAAACTAGTACGTTTGTAACGACCCTCATTATAATAATCCGTTTATACAGGTTATATGGCAAATAATCGCATATTCTCAATACTGCTCTTAAATTATCCATTTTCGTTGGACAATCGTACTGTTAATACATTTGTATCACGTCTAATGAAAATTGACCTTTGAGAAGGTCAACTAAATGACGCCGAATATTAAAACTTTTTGATACCACTGAATTTGCAAAGTTTTTGTAAGACGAGTGTTTCACTTCTTTTTCAGAGAGAAATGGGTTATTTTTCTTGTCCAACATCTCCTGAAGAATTCAAACAAGTAAGTGGCGTAAATATATAAATATGAAACAAAAGAGAGAATAGAACTGTTTGCGATTATCGTAAAATAATTTGAAATAAAATATCTATAATATATAATTTTCAATTTACAGCTACAAGATTCGTCTCCCTTTCATCGACCAATGGGAAGAGGAATTCCTGCAGGTATTCACGAGGTAAGTTGTATAAATAAGATTTTAGGATTGCCCATTTAAGAGTTTTTTAACGAGACATTGTTGTCATTAAAATAGTTCGTATTTATAAATATGAAGTGATACTTAACGTTCCGTACTATACTATACCATACTGTACTGTACCGATCCGTACCGTATCGTATCCATACTACAATGTATACCATATTGTACTATACTGTATAGACTGTACTATATCAACCATACCATACCATGCCATACCATAAAATATCGAATTCATATCAGTCTTTAACAACTTTAACTAGATCGTTTAGCGATGTGATTGAATTATAGCTAGACATGTATTTTAAACGGGTTTATGTTAGAGCTGAAATGCACTCAACTTGGCACAAACTAAGTTTTTGTCACAACCTCAACAAATGGTTATAAAAAATAGAAGCTATCATGCGCTTATATTAAAGAGAAATATAATTTAACGGGTTTGTCTTTATCTGCGCAATTCTGAAAAAAATACTTTCAAACTTTAAAAAAAACTAGTTGTTTCTGAAGCATAGTGTGCCTTTAAGTTTAATTTTTCAAATATTGGTACGCACATAAACACATGTGTGCTGAATTGAATAAACAAAATGTTGCAATTTAGTAGCAATTAAATCATATGCGTATGTAAAATAAGATGCAAAATAATTTTCGGCGTGAAGCACATCGAACCATGAAGTCACAAACTTTAATGTAAATATCACAATAACATTTGTATAATATAATATTTCTATTCTTCAAAAGAGACACTGAACATCTTTAACATCTTTAACAAACTCGAAATTTACAAAATAGAACTATTTATGACATTATTTAACTTCTCAATAGTAACAGACGCAAAACGCGGTACTTAAACGTTTAGACGAACGCAGACGCACGCTAAACGCTTCTGATGATAACAAACGCGCGCTTTCAAATGCACGATAAACGAAAAACGATACACGAAAAACGATAAACGTTAAACGCTTGTAAACGATGCACGCTTCAGAAAGCGTTTTATCAAACGCACGTTGCACGATATACGCACGCACGATATACAAAAATCGGACGCACGAAAAACGCTATTTTAGACAACCGAAACGTTCACCCTACTGTATCACGTCTAATGAAGATTGACCCTTGAGAAGGTCAACTAAATGTCGCCGAATATTAAAACTTTTTGGTACTGAATTTGCAAAGTTTTTGTAAGACGTGTGTTTTACTTCTTTTTCAGAAAGAAATGGATGATTTTTCTCGCCCAACATCTCCTGAAGAATTCAAACAAGTAAGTGGCGTACATATATAAATATGAAAAAAAGAGAATAGAACTGTTTGCGATTATCCTAAAATAGTTTCGGAATGAAATATGGATAGTATATAATTTTCAATTTACAGCTACAAGATTCGTCTCCCTTTCATCGACCAATGGGAAGAGGAATTCCTGCAGGTATTCACGAGGTAAGTTGTATAAATAAGATTTTAGGATTGCCCATTTAAGAGTTTTTTAACGAGACATTGTTGTTATTAAAATAGTTCGTATTTATAAATATGAGGTGATACTTAACGTTCCGTACTATACTATACCATACTGTACTGTACCGTTCCGTACCGTATCGTATCCATACTGCAATGTATACCATATTACATACTGTACTAAATTGAACTATACCATACCATACCATACCATAAAATATCGTAATCATATCAGTCTTTAACAACTTTAGCTAGATCGTTTAGCGATGTGATTGAATAATAGCTAGACATGTATTTTAAACGGGTTTATGTTAGAGCTGAAATGCACTCAATTTGGCACAAACTAAGTTTTTGTCACAACCTCAACAAACGGATAAAAAAAATAGAAGCTATCATGCGCTAATATTAAAAAGAAATATAATTTAACGGGTTTGTCTTTATATGCGCAATTCTGAAAAAAAAAACACTTTCAAACTTTAAAAAAACTAGTTGTTTCTGAAGCATAATGTGCCTTTAAGTTTAATTTTTCAAATATTGGTACGCATTTAAACACATGTTTGCTGAATTGAATAAACAAAATATTGCAATTTAGTAGAAATTAAATCATATGCGTAAACTATGTAAAATGGGATGCAAAATAATTTTCAGCGTAAAACACTTCGAACCATGATGTCACTATAATGTAAATATCACAATAATATTTGTATAATATAATATTTCTATTCTTCAAAAGAGACACTGGACATCTTTAAGAAACTCGAAATTTACAAAAAGAACTATTGAAGACATTATTTAACTTCTCAATAGTAACAGACGCAAAACGCGGTACTTAAACGTTTAGACGAACGCAGACGCATGCTTAACGGTTCTGATGATAACAAACGCACGCTTTCAAACGCACGATAAACGAAAAACGATACACGAAAAACGATAAACGTTAAACGCTTGTAAACGATGCACGCTTCAGAAAGCGTTTTATCAAACGCACGTTGCACGATATACGCACGCACGATATACGAAAAACGGACGCACGAAAAACGCTATTTAAGACAACCGAAACGTTCACCCTACTGTATCACGTCTAATGAAAATTGACCCTTGAGAAGGTGAGGAAGTCAACTTAATGTCGCCGAATATTAAAACTTGTTGGTACTGAATTTGCAACGTTTTTGTAAGACGTGTGTTTTATTTCTTTTTCAGAAAGAAATGGATGATTTTTCTCGCCCAACATCTCCTGAAGAATTCAAACAAGTAAGTGGCGTAAATATATAAATATGAAACAAAAGAGAATAGAACTGTTTGCGATTATCGTAAAATAATTTCGAAATAAAATATCTATAATATATAATTTTCAATTTACAGCTACAAGATTCGTCTCCCTTTCATCGACCAATGGGAAGAGGAATTCCTGCAGGTATTCACGAGGTAAGTTGTATAAATAAGATTTTAGGATTGCCCATTTAAGAGTTTTTTAACGAGACATTGTTGTCATTAAAATAGTTCGTATTTGCAAATATGAGGTGATACTTAACGTTCCGTACCATACCATACCATACTGTACTGTACCGTTCCGTACCGTATCGTATCCATACTACAATGTATACCATATTGTACTATACTGTACTATACTGTACTATATCGAACCATACCTTACCATATACCATACCATACCATACCATACTCCACAGATATAATCTACACTATGCCAACAGCATGTTCAATGTCTCAACAAGAAGAGACGACCAAGTGGTTAAGGTGTCTGCCTCTTCACCGAAGGGTCGTTGGTTCGAAATTGTTGTTTCCTTGAGCAAATAATTTTGTCAAGAGTGTGTCTGTAAGCTTATAGTTTTCTTTAGATTCGAACTACAAATAAATCAAGTTAAAATCTACTAGTGCCATATGAGGAAATATGGCCGTTACCACAATAAGATTTGAACATACTGGATTGACCGACAGGCACCTTGACCACAAGGTCATGTCTCCCTGTACGAACATTTCCTGTATGGAATAGTTCAGTAGAATCATTATGAATTTGTACCTGTGACAAATACTTGAAAGATATTTCCAATAATTCATGAAATATACAAAACAAGTTAAATCATAAAACATTGTTTCTTCATATCAACTATTAACAATCCTTATTCTCCACATAGTAAAATGATTTATGAAAACATATTGATTTAGTTGCATTTATATCATCTATTGTTATTTTTACAAAAACTTACATTATTCCATTTGATTAGAAATATGGTTTATAACCAGTAATGCCTCAAATCATACAAATACTTAATATTCTTCAGCTATATTTTATTTGCTATTCTTTGTCTTAAAGTTTCTTAGTGCAATGGTACGTGCTTGCTCGGCGTAAAGGCGATAAATGACTTGTGATACATTATCCAAAGCCTTATACTGTATTATCTGATAATTTGTTTTGACATGTAATGTGTTTTCTTTTTTAGTCACCAGCTCCTTACATTAAAAACATCCATGGTCTCCATGAGGGCAAGATCATTTTAGTGTGTGGCGTCCCAAAATCCAACGCCAACAGGTATAATACCTTACTTGTTTATAGATCTGATGTTTATTTTTGGAATTATAAATGAATGATGCTTCCACACCATATTACCAGCATCAGGGATGACAGATTGCTGTGGTGATCTAACATGTATTGATTACTACATATAGTTTATAATTTTTGTTGGCATCTGCTAAAGACACAATGTCCAATAAAAAAATAAAACATTCAAGTGAATTTAACAACTTTTGTTGGGAATAAGTTAGTCCTTACATGCGGATTATGTAGTCCTAACTGGATTGTACAAATTCCTAATTATGAACTTAAGTGCTTCTAAACAAATAGAGAAAACGGAATCTCTAAAGATCACCCAAAACGACAAAATTGAAAATGTTGCAGGCAGGTTTGATTGAGCCTGTTCATGGACGGTACTGGAAAGTGCAAATTACCGTCCACTCACCCAAGTACCGGGTTAAGTAGAATTCAACATTTAAACATGAAACATGGTGAAGTTTTGTAACATCCGCAGATGTGTTCATGCTGCGGTTATCATGAAACCTTCTCTGTGACACTTTTATGCTATATCATGACAAGCGACGTATGGTCCCTAAGTAAAAGACAGCGTGTGCCCTAAACGAGAAAACAATAGGGGAACTCTATAAAAGTTATAGTCTATAAAAGATAGAAGTAATTTTTAAATTTGATTTTAAGCTTAGTCTTATTAAGGAATTTACAAACTCCTAATTATAGGTTATTTTCATTATAGAATGTTAAATTTGTTCAATGAAAAAATAAATTCCACTTAGAAACTCTAAATTAGGAGTTTTAAAATCCATATAAGTAGAAGTTTTAAACTTATTATCATTTTTAACTCATATATTTTAAACTCCTGGTAATGAGAATTAAAACAGTCAATAGTGAGCACGATGCATATCCATATCGGTACCCTCTTTGCGAAGGTACTCTCTTTGCACATGCACAGGTCAATCGCTGCTGAAAACAAGTAGGCAACATACACCAAGCTAGTAGATGTTTGTTCATTCTACTGATAAAAGGTGATATGTCGAGTGAAAAAGAAGTATACCACGGAACACTCGAATGTTTCAACTTACACAATTACCAAAATTATTTTACTTTAAATGTCCTTTTCCTTGTCAGATTAATTTGCCATTATTTTATGTCTTTCACCCTGTTACATGCCTAAATATAGAATAGATAAACTATGAAAAAATTTCACTTAAACTTTTCAGGTTCTCGATATATCTTCAACAAGGGGACAGTCCCGATACAAAACTTGTTGCCATGGTATTTGATGTTAGATTTAAGTGGGGTACACCTGTCAGTACGAACTGCGTAGTAAGAAATCACAAAGAAGGAGCATGGGATAGCGGACAGGAGGAAAGATCTGCTCCGTGTTTCCCATTCAAACGAGGCAAAGATTTTCAGATCATTATCATGGTTGACCGTGATTGTTTCAAGGTAATCAATGTCAATCAATCTATGGCAATGCCGATGTCTTTTTGTATTAGATATTCACATACCGGTATATACATACCATGTACATTACATGTATTCAATTTTGATTGTATAGCAAAGCTCAAAGGAACGATAAATATCCAAACATTACCTCATATGTACGATGTGTTGTTGTTGTTGTTGTTGTTGTTGTTGTAAGATCTCATACGCGACAAACATAAAGCGCTCCTAAGCGAACTACTTTAACCCATACAAATAAATATGATGATTTATAGAGAGCGGTGGCCCCGGGGGAGTTCAAACCTAGGGACAAGTTTCATATCCGAGTCTACCTTAATCTGTATAATCTTAACTAAATAAAAAGATACGGATGTTTTCCTCATTATGAATAAATCTTTTATAAAAAAGGTAAATTTAGCTACATCAAGTATTACATAAGACGTGATAAATAATGGAAACGCATATTCATTGAAATGGCTACATTTTCAGGTCGCAGTTGATGATCAGCACTTTGTGGAATTTAATCACAGGATCGAACCCTTCAGCTGTATTGATACACTCCTGATAGATGGTGACGTCATGATCTCCACCGTGCAAATCCAAGAGTGATAGTTGCATGGCAACAACCATAAAGAAACACTTCATCCACGTGATGAAAACTCTGTTTTCGGAACTATTTTTTCTCTGAATGTTTCATTTGTATTGTATTCGGGTATAAATTATCTGTTTTGTATGCGTTCAATAACATTAGTTGATATATGTTGAAATTGATGCAATTTTACAGTGGCAATGCACAGTTTAAAAACACTTGAAAATAGAGAAACTATTTAGGGAACAGATAAAAAAAATCTATCTATCTATCTATCTATCTATCTATCTATCTATCTATCTATCTATCTATCTCTATCTATCTATCTATCTATCTATCTATCTATCTATCTATCTATCTATCTATCTATCTATCTATCTATCTATATATCTATCTATCTATCTATCTATCTATGAAGGTATGTATGTCAAACCCCTCGCGAGGACGTATGCATGACTCTAGGCTAGTCACTTCAGTATAACAGTATAACATCAATGCGTAATACAAATGACGTAAAACGTCAATTTCATTTTGTTATACGGTCAAAAACACTTCAAGTATATGGACGTATAAAACAAATGAGTCATCGTTAACAAACCAAAAAGGTATGATTTGATGCGAAACAAGTTATTTGTCTTTCGGCCCATGTGGGTTTTGCCATCACGTGCGTTTCTCCCCTCTTTTTCTAGTAGATTACAATTTCATAAGCAAGATCAAAATACTGATACAATAATCCAACAATTATTGTTAAACCAAGTTTCACGCTACTGAGTACATGAATAAAAGATTCTTCTATATATGTACCATGTAGGTATATATAAAAGTGATATCGTGATACCTTGTCATACCGTGATTGCATAGATTAGTAATTAGATATCAACCCAAGAGAACACTTAGACAGGTGAACACTTCATTACAATAATTTATTATCGATTATTACTTACACTCCATTTAATATACAGATGAGTACAGAAAGGTCAAACGTTACATTAAGGTTATAAAGAGATATTTGCTCACTTTTTTCCTTTAGCGGGATCACGCTGGTCACGAATGTTTGTTTTAGAAAAATGACGTTTGAAGATACAAGGTCCTGTTTCAACGAGCTCTACGCTTTTTACAACATTTCAAAGAATATATTTTCCTAAGCTCATCTCTGAACATTGTGTCAAAAAAACCGTAAACGTAGCAGTTTATCGTACTGTTTAGGAACGAGCAATAAAACACTATGTGATATATCGTTTGCCAGGCAAAGGATAAACTGGAAACAAAATTTTCCGTGGTAAGAGTTATTACTTGAAGAATAAGATGCGGTATGAATGTTAAAAAATACAAGATAGTAATTGCAAAGAACATTTGTGTTGTTCTCTTAGATCTTTTTAAATTTCGTAGAGCTTCTTTGCGCTTGCGGGAATTTTCGCGGCCAACGGGAGTCTGTCCGTTGCTTTCTGTGCTTTCTAGAGAGTTTCCAGTGTTTACAGTCTGATCAAGATTTCGTGCTAAATTGATTTCAAGGTTTTTAGAATCATGCTCCTTTTCAACAGCTTTCTTCTCGGAGTGTGTGTCCATCTTTTCCTCTTTATTTTTATCTATATTTTGATTTTCCTGTTCATTGCCTTCATATGAATGGTTTGTATCATTAAGCGAATCCATGTCAGTTGGGATCATAATGTTAATATTATTTAGCGTCACATTTTCATTTGTGTAATCTGTTTTACTCTCTTCACCAGTGACGCTTAATTCCGTATCACTTTCGGCAATATGAGTTGATCCACAAGAATGATTGGTATTTGTATTGATTCCATTGTAAATAGTGTATGCCTTCAAATCAACTTGTACAATTGCATTATTCCTGTCAATATTTTTACGTTTACCGATCTTGCCATTTGTCGTACTATGTGCTAAAGTTGATTTAGCTTTAGGTACTTTTAGATGTTTGTCTTCCTTTATAAGCAATTTGTTTTTAGCTTTAACATGGTGGCGTATACTTTTACCAATCATACAATAAAGTATAACTAGACAGAATACCATGACAATCGCCATAATCAGCATAAGGCCATTCCAGTATGTAAGGTAAAAGGTGTCCTTATATGCATCGTCAATGTAACAGCTGACCCCGGTAATATTTGGGTTGTGTGTAATAACTGTCGTCTCGCCATACAGTACAGGAATCGGCCAAAATGAGAAGATACAAAACATTAAAACGAAGGCACACAGTTTCTTTGCTCTCTGAGGGTCTATTTGCTGGCCGAATGGTCTGCATGTTTTCAGGTATCTGAAAGGATACCAAAATATAGAAATAGCATACCGTTTTGGCCTGACGACGAATTCGGTTGAAATTGATACAATGACACGTAAATCAATTCATGGAATTTGAAGCTAAAAAAAATTTCATTTAAAGGACAACCTATAACATGATAATACTTGAATTGTTTAAACAACAATGGTAATTCCGGTTAGAAACTAACTTTTAAGGGCAGAAAACTCAATAAATAATAAAAAAATGACTTCCGCATTCCCCTCCCCAAAATTATTTTATTGATCCCTTTCAATTATAATTTTGTAAATCCTACAAAGTTTAAGAAGTTATCTGTGCTAGTTTATATAATTTACCTTCTTTGTGCTTTGCCTTTGTAAAGTAATCGTTTAAACATCCCATCGACCCGGAAATGTTTTTTTATTGTATAAAAGTTGATTTCGAAACTGACTTATAAACATTACTAGAATTGCTAAATATACTTGTTTCATAATTTAGTGTTGTTTTTTTTCGAATTATTAGAGAATTTATAGCATTTTTTGCTTTTTTTCATGAAGAAAAAAAAGACTTACAAAATTGTTTTTAAGAAATAGTATCAAGAATCCGAAAATAATGACGTTAATTAATTATTGTTTCATTTAACATTTGATTTTTTCACTTTTCAAAAGACGACTTAATATGAAATAAGATTGAACCTTATCGAGCAGGCAACGTACATATCAATATTGACACATCTTTTCTTGTCTGTGACAAGTAATTACACAGTTGGATAAAGCATTGAATTTTATTTAAAAAATAACGGTTTGAAAGGTTTTTCGGTGAGAAGGGCAAAAAATCTGAACAAATAATGGGAAACAACAAGTAATATTAAAACAGCATAAAGAGTCGATTCTCACCTGTCAATAGCAATGGGTAGGAGTACAAATCCCGACGATCCAGCAAAGAAATACAAAAGGAACCGAAATATCCGACAAGTTATTGATGAGTTGAAGGTCAACCTTAGAAACATGTCAGCAATTATAAAAGGCATGCTGACCAAACACGACGTCAAATCCAGTATTGCCAAAGCTATGATGAAAATTCTGTGACTCGTAGCCTTCTTCATACGAAATAAATACACTAAAAGTACGTGTACATTTCCAACAATACCTAACAGCATAAGTGTTTACACTAGAACAATAGCTGCAATATACGGTTTTATTTCCAAATTGTTGTAAAACGTGATATCTGAATTATTCTCCATAATTTTATTTTAAGCCGCTGTGTTTACTCTTTGTATTTGATCGCTAATTCCAAATACTCAGGTTAGCGCCGTGTAACAATAAATGCCGATTCATTTGGGAAATTATTCATTCTCTCCGTCACTACGTTCAGGGCACTTAACAAAGGTCATGTTATAATTGATACGAGCTATATAGTATTGATATTTATGAGTTTAATGAGTTTATTTCCAAGCAAATTTGTAATGAACTGTGATCTCAATATATTTAATTGACAAAGATGTATTTATCGCGACAATTTTTTAAATTAAATGCATGCAGCCAATCCTCAAATTATGTGTTAAACTTACGATGACCTGATAGATTATAGATTTACGTTTCCCATAAAAAAGTGTTAAACAAGAGGGTCATGATGGCCCTAATATCGCTCACCTGAATATCAATATTCTCCATGACAAGGAACAAGTTATATTGTAATCAATAAACAAAAGCAGATGTAAAATCTAAATCTTAAACTAATATCTGAAAAAGTGCACATGTAAAAACTTTACTGGTTGCTATTGCTAAGGGAAAACAACAGTTACATTAGAAGGCACTGGTTGCTGTACAAAATAAATGGTTTCCTTGGATGTCAGTGACTGCTATGAAATTCAATGGTAGATAAGGTAATGCTTGCTATGGAAGTCACTGGTTGTCATGATATTTTACAGTTCTATAAAATCAATTGATGCTATAAAGTCACAGGATGATATGGAAACTGCGATTTAGCTTCTGTAGATTTAGAGAATTTTCAATGTTCCCTGCCCCAGGGCAGGTCCAATTTCGACCCCAGGGCTCTCATTTGATAAAAATTGTAGAGGTCAACTGTAGAGGTCATATGAGTATAAAACCAAAAAAAGGTGTGTTACGTGATCTCAACATAGGACGTTATATCAGTCTAAATTGCATTTGCAGAAGTATCACAATGTAATTACAAAATGATTATTACAACTTACAGGTAGCTGGGGATTTACAGTAATTAATGTAGTCAAGATATGTATTTCTGCACATATAAAAGAAAATTATAGTATTTACAGTAGCATCGATGTATTTTGCTGCATATATACTGGAGTAATTTGTAAAATTTATTGGGATAAGGAAAATCAATAAATTTATTTTTTTCTCATATTTTCTTCATATCTTAATAAACCATAAATCAAAAATGATACGTAAGAAATCTTACTTATTTTCTTGCTATGAATGCAAAACAGTCATTACTTAAATAAATTAAAGGGAGAAAATTAAGCCACAATGAAATGAATATATAGTTTTTACTTTATACACATAACAAAAACAATGACCCCTGAGGCGGGCCAACTTTTACCCTGGGGCTTTTGTTAGAACAAAATTTGTAGACATCTACTAGAAGATTGTTTTAGTTTTTACTATATACACATAAGAAAAACAAGAAAAAAAACCTGGGGCGGGGCCAATTTTGACTGAATTATATTGATTTTCTGTCAGAATGTAAGCCACTTTCAGATCATCGGCGGCCTCGAAAATACATTTCTACCTACAACGGCAACATTTTTTGTCAAACGGTCTAGTTTGGAAATCTCAAGAAAAGAAGCACAGAGTTGATATCTTGCGTACGTGACCTTAAATTATAATTTTATGTGTACATGTAGAACACGAAATCTCTTCATTCATTTAAAAAAAAATATTTCGAACAAAAAAACATCCATTTTCACGGATTTTCCCGAAGCTGTCATTTTTAACCCGCTCAGAATATTTTATGAAATGAGGAAATAAGTCCAAAATTACCCGATAGTATCACCAGTCAATGGGCAAGAAGTTTATAGCCATGACAATGACCTTGTGTGCGTAATATAAATATAGGAACCAAGTATATTACTAACCAGAAGTGTGTGAATCAGTAAATTAGGATTTCTGTCACCACTGCAGCAATCTGTTATCACTGGTGCCGGTAATACCGTGTGGCTTTTGAACGTGAACTTTGTGCAATAGCAGGGTTATTTTACAATTTGCATGGCGCAAAATGCTAAAAAATGTACTGATTTTTCAGATCGATATTTTTTGGTAAACCTTTTTAATATCTGAACGGATTTTATTAAAATAATGCATCAAACCCATACATTTATGATTTTTTTTCGGCTGTTGCTTACTTTGTATGCAGTATTCTCTCAATTTTGCATTTTTTTTTTAAATTGATTTAGTCGTTGAAATATAATCAACAAAGTACAAAAATTAACGACTGAATCATTGGGAAAAATAGAAAATCAGAGAAATTTTAAATTTGGTAACTGATAAAACACTCTTTAGAAACACTTGTCATCATAAGGAAAACAAAAGGAGTATGACTCAAAATATTTCCTTGACACGCTCAATGGTGATCTTGTTTGTATGTGATTTTTTAAAAAGATAAGTGCCTACGGATTTGTCCCATATAAAGTAAGATTAAAAAATAAATAAACAAGGTAGGGTTTACACAATTATCGGAAATATTTACTTAAAATGTCTTTTTTTCTAAACCATTTGCAACCAGACCGTTGGATTGTCAGCAACCATTGTCAGTGACCATTACTTTTGGTCCGTCACCCTGATACATGTCTGAATATACAATAGATAAATCTATGAAATAATATCGCTAAAACTTTTCAGGTTCTCGATATATCTGCAGCAAGGGGACAGTCACGATCCAAAACTTGTTGCCATGGTATTTGATGTTAGATTTAGGTGGGGTACACCTGTCAGTACGACCTGCGTAGTAAGAAATCACAAAGAAGGAGCATGGGATAGCAATCAGGAGGAGAGAACTGCTCCGTGTTTCCCATTCAAACGAGTCAAAGATTTTCAGATCATTATCATGGTTGACCGTGATTGTTTCAAGGTAATCAATGTCAATCAATCAATGGCAATGCCGATGTCTTTTTGTATTAGATATTCACATACCGGTATATACATACCATGTACATTACATGTATTCAATTTTGATTGTATAGCAAAGCTCAAAGGAACGATAAATAACCAAACATTACCTCATATGTACGATGTGTTGTTGTTGTTGTTGTTGTTGTTGTAAGATCTCATACGCGACAAACATAAAGCGCGAACTACTTTAACCCATACAGATAAATATGATGGATGATTTATTGAGAGCGTTGGTCCCGGGGAAGTTCAAACCCAGGGACAAGTTTCATACCCGAGCCTAGCTTAATCTGTATAATCTTAACTAAATAAAAAGATACGGATGTTTTCCTCATAATGAATAAATCTTTTTATAAAAAAGGTAAATTTAGCTACATCAAGTGTTACATAAGACGTGATAAATAATGGAAACGAATATTCATTGAAATGGCTACATTTTCAGGTCGCAGTTGATGATCAGCACTTTGTGGAATTTAATCACACGATCGAGCCCTTCAGCTGTATAGATACACTCCGTATTGATGGTGACGTCATGATTTCAACCGTGCAAATCCAAGAGTGATAGTTGTGTAGCAACGCCCATAAAGAAAAACTTCATCCAGTTGATAATGACTGTTTCTGGAACTTTTTTCTGAATGTTTTATTTTTTCTGTATGTTTCATTTATATTGTGTTCGGATTTATGTACTTTAACTTTCTATCTGTACAATTATATTAGTTGATATCTGTGGAAATTGATTCAATTTTACAGTGGCAATGCACAGTTTAAAAACACATGAAATAAGAAAGTACCAGTATTTAGGGAACAGAAAACAATGAAACGAAGATGTATTCCAAAATTTAAGTAACATACCATTGATATTTAGTCCCAAATTAAACGTTCTGACTTAAATAATTATGTCTTATAATTATTTAACTATTCATTAAGAATGCCCGGTAAAAAGCCAAATTAAATTATTTGATAACGAGAGTGTCTTTTTAAAATATACGTACATAAATGCGTAATACAAATTACGTAAAACGTCAATTTCGTTTTGTTATATGGTAAAAATAAACACTACAAATATATGAACATATCACACAAATGAATCATCGTAAACAAACCAAAGAGGTATGATTTGATGCGGATCAAATTATCTGTCTTTCGGCCCATGTGGGTTTTGCCATCACGTGCGTTTCTAACTAAGTCCCCTCTTGTCCTTGTAGTTTACAATTTCATAATCAAGATAAAAAATACTGATAAAATAATCCAACAATTGTTTTTTTCAAGTTTCACGCGACTGAGTGCCTGAATAAATGAATAAAGCTTCTTCTATATATGTACCATGTAGGTATATATAATAGGGATATCGTGATAACTTGGCATACCGTGATTGCAAAAATTAGTAATTAGATTTCAACCCAAGGGAACAACACTTCATTACAATAATTTAATATCAATTATTACTTGCAGTCCATTTATACAGATGAGTCCAGAAAGGTCAAACGTTACATTAAGGTTATAAAGAGATATTTGCTCACTTTTTCCTTTAGCGGGATTACGCTGGTCACGAATGTTTGTTTTAGAAAAATGACAAGGTCCTGTTTCAACGATCTCTACGCTTTTTACAACATGTCAAAGAATATATTTTCCATAGCTCATCTCTAAACATTGTGTCAAAGAAACCATAAACATAGCAGTTTATCGTACTGTTAAGGAACGAGCAATGAAACACTATGTGATATATCGTTTGCCAGGCAAAGGATAAGCTGGAAACAAAATTTTCCGTGGTAAGAGTTATTACTTGAAGAATAAGATGCGGTATGAATGTTAAAAAATACAGGATAGTAATTGCAAAGAACATTTGTGTTGTTCTCTTAGATCTTTTTAAATTTCGTAGAGCTTCCCTGTGTTTGCGGGAGTTTTCGCGGCCTACGGGAGTCTGTCCGTTGCTTTCTACGCTTTCTAGAGAGTTTCCAGTGTTAACAGTCTGATCAATATTTGGTGTTAAATTGGTTTCATGGTTTTTAGA